AAGGAGTGTACAGCCCCACCTGGTACTTGCTGACTAGACAAGGTGGACTTGGACTTTAGACTGGGACTGCTGACCTGGCTAGGACTAGACTCTACCTTGCTGACTCAGCTACAACAACTAACTCCTATAGCTCCGAAGAGCCAAGTAGCAACTTCTAGAGAGTCCTAGGTTGTGTTGACTGACCCTTCCCTACACTTAGGGCTAACCTATGGAGTGACCATAGGACTGTTAAAACTAAGAGTCGGTTCACGTCCACACGACCCAACTAAGCACACAACACACAGACGTACGTTATTGGGGACAGGTCGCAGGTTCAAGGCACACAAGGGCGTCGGGCAACTGTACAAGGGAACGGGATAGGTCTAGGGATCGAGCCCTGGGATCTGCGATTGTCGCGCGAACTGAAACCCTTTCAATATTCGTCTGAGCTCGAAAAATCACCGAAGATGCAGTACTTTTTCCGTTGGACGAGACACGACATAGTGGCGAAAATGGAAAAAGCGCCGAATTGCCGCGGCGATTATTTCACGTTCAAAATGATTTATTTATTTTTATTATTTTATATATTTTTCAAAAAAGACCAAAACGAAGTTTGTAAGCCCTGCAATTCTCAGATTTTTTCATGCATTCTTCTGAACGTGAAAATTAGTGAAGTTGGAATACTTTTTCCCTTGGCCGGCGCATAGCAGAGTGGCAAAAATGGTGAATGCGCCAAAAAATCGCAGCAATTGTTTCACGGTTGAAATGAATTTTTTAAATTTCACAGTCGAAAAGGATCCAAGTCTGACCTGAGACCCCCCGCGCACAACTTTAAAAAAGAAAGAAAGTATACTCTTAAATATTTATTCATTAATTTATTAATTTATTAATTTATTTTTATTTGGACCATTTCTCGCTTTATGTGTGTCATCCTTGCGCAGGGGCCATGCTAATCTTCTCTGTATCGTTCCAATTTTAACGGATGCTACTCTTAAATATTTATTAGAAAACTTCAAAAAACAATATTCATGTGCACTTCTTAGTGGCCGTGGTGCGGGTTTTGTGTGTGGTGAGGCAGGATATGGATTCAAGTCCGACGTGGGGGGGACAAAAAGATTCATGCGCACTTCTTAGTGGCCGCAATGCGGATTTTGTGTGTGGTGAAGCAAGATATGAATCCAAGTCCAGCGTGATCCCCCCCGCCTGCCCTGTTAAAAAAATAATAATAATAAGAATATTGAATATTCTTAAGTATTTACTAGAAAAATGTATCTATTCATGCGCACTTCTTAGCGGCCGCAGTGCGGGCATTGTGTGTGGTGAAGCATGATATGGATCCAAGTCTGACGCGAGCCCCCCTGCCTGCCCCATTTCCCTATCCCTATACTACTAAAGGAAACAGCGGTTCTCACATAGGGCCCAACAAAAACCATGTGCCTCTGCGCAGGACCGATAACAGCCAGCGGCCAAGGGGGAACCGGTGGCACTCAGGGCGAGGGCCAGAGAAATACAGGCGCAAACTGGCGACAGCCGCGACGAGTAAGGGAAAAAAAGGCCGTGGGGACAGCCCCGACGAGTACGAGGGCCGACTAGCCCAAAAAAGGTTGTGGAACACAGGGTGAGGGCCGGAGAAATGTCGGCGCACGGGGCTGAAGCGACGTGACTGGCAGGGCGGAGCGGGAAATGGCATGGCATGAATTGTTTACCGGTGAGGTGACGGGCGGGGCAGCATCCTTTCGTGCGGGAGGGGGGGGAGGAAGGGAAGGAGGGAAGGAGGAAGGGGAGAGAGAGAGAGAGAGAGA